AGCGTCGGACGCTAGCGCTTGCAAGCCCGCAGGTGACCGTATTCATGTGAAGGGAAGCGGCCGAAATCAGTACAGAGGACCACGCAGTGAACTAGGATCGGATTGCAACGAGCAAGGAAACATCAGCTCAAATGCTGCGGATCGACCTTCGGGAATAATTTCTGACCTGGCGAATAATTGGGAATCCCACGCCGAACTTATTCGGAAGCGGACTTTCATAACTGATGTAAAAGAGTTTTTTTTCAAATTTTACAACGCACAAACACTGCAGACGCAAATGCGCGCTCTCCACAATGCTGCTGAAACCAGACAACGTGAGTTGAAAAAAGTATTAACTCACGTTGAAGCTGAATTAGAGCAAGTTAGATATGACTCACAGTCGATTGTTGGTTCAAATTCCCGTGAAGCTCGAGAATTGCAGACACGTCTTGGCACTCAGCTTGGTCGACATAAACATGCCCGAGAGACGGCTTTGGCAGCTGAACGTCTACGCCAAGCCGCATTCGGTGGCGTGAAACATGTTTGCACCACACTTGGTATTCCACCTCCAGATCAGGACACCCCAGTCAACGAAATCATACATCAGGTCGAAAGCGTGCTCGAAGCCCTGATGGAAGAAAAGGATAAAACTGCACAAAAAATGGGTGATCCGCATCAACCCACCTTCAGGGACACAACACCTGGTTACGACAAATTGATGCGGGCACCGGAGCTCGATGCGGCTCTAGAGCAATTTGAAACACCCAAGGCCCTCATCGCTCACCGGCTGCCGGCGAAAGCACCTGATGAATCCCGTGCGATGCACGATGAAATGGACTTGGACATAAACGCTGATGAAGGTGGAATCAAGTGTAGAAATGAGGTTAAGCGTGAAGCCCAAAAGAGCTTGCGTGCAGAACAAAGGCGCCTTGCTCGCCTTAGTCCGCAGTAAGATTGATACAAAAATAACTAACTGCCTCAGGCACGCTTAGAAACATGTGGGCATTTAACTGTTCAGGCAGGATTGTAGCCAGCTAGTTAAGGAGCACGAGTGTCACACCAGACATCACACAAGTTGAAACAACACACGGTTGCATCTTCTAATCTGGGTGGAGGACTCTGACACTGGGCTAACCCCAAGTACTTTGGGGGCCCCTGGCTCGTTAAAAGCAAAGTATGCCTGGGGTGATACATATGCTACACATCTATTCTGGAGACACCTGCTTGCAAACATTAATTTCCCCTATGAGGTCTTTTGTGGCTGCACTTGGAGTATGTCTCGGGGGTAGCTGTGTATCTCAATTCCTTGGATAGACTACTTCGCTGGACGCACGGGCC